ATTTCATATTTACAAGAAGAGGTAAACCGTTTAACCAAGGATCATCCTAGGGGGATTAGACATAATAGGTGAACAAGGCATAGCCTACTTTTATTCGTGGCATAGAATTTGGTTCACGTCGACTACAAGGTGGTATTTTCCCCAACTCTATGCATGGTCGTAAACATGTTCCCTGCAAACGGATTTAAGATTTTTGAGGTTATCAGCAGTAATTGTTCCAAGTAGGCAATAACCACTCGCTGTCAACAGTTTTCTCCAAAACTTTGGGGAACCTTCTGCCTAGGGAGAGTTTTTTGGCCATTTGGCACTTCAGTTAGCGATCTAACTCATGAAATGTGTCGAAAATTACGAATGATTGCCAACCTCTCGCAAACCGACACTATTTCTTGAGTCCAACGTCTATGGTAATTGAGTACAAGTTTAAGAGCATTAAAAACATAAAAAATTGTAAAGACCTTGTTGCGCTGTATAGAAAGCCCGATTTGTTTCATAAAATCGTAATATCCCAAAAACGCCAGAAATGGCCTTAATTTAGTAAACTTCGTTTGTTTATGTAGAGAATGTATTCTCCTACCAAAACGTAGTAAATATCAAAGTTCAAATACAGAAATGTCTAATAATATCGTTTCAGTGATGTTTAAAACTACATATCTTTTAATAATTAGTGTGATTTCATATTTGATGGTTTCCCAACTGCCTACATTCTGGGTGTAGATTCCAAAACAGTTTTCCCGCGTTTCGTGTTATCCTTTAAACTTTTGAGTTAAATGAGATGGGGTTCAACAAGGGACGCTGGATTTTGCTTGACTTCACCGATAGGGACTTCGTAGAAACAAAAGCTTTCATAAGGTTCATGCCGTGATTCCAGTCCGTGCCTAATAAGTTTAAATAGATCTGACAGGCGTGGTCGTAAGCATTCCATTTTGTGTTAATAGAGAGAACTTTCCTTCCGTTAAAGTAATCTACACTTTTCTTTGTGTTTCAGATCGGCCTCGAAATGTTTTTGAATACTTCATGATTTTCAGTGTTTCCTCCCGATCGTCCATAAAGAATGATTATGAATTACTTGCCTGTTGAGGACTGTAAAATAAGGTTATTATTGAAGGTATTTATCGCATTAGTGAGAGTTTTGCCGCTCCTTTTCACGAAGATGGTCGTTAAGGTCACATGTGAAGATACATTCAAACACAAAACTTCATTTTCGAGAGAAAGGGCTGTCCATAACGAAGGTCAGCATCAGGTATACCTCCATTCAATAATAATACTTTCGGTAATAGGTTGCCTCTTTAAGAAGTGTTTTATTACTGCACTCCGTTGACGGATCTATGTGTACTTTTCATTTTTGCACGGTGAGACAAAGTAAAAATTTCACACCTTTGGCCGTTTCTTCCACGTTCATACCAATATTTTTCTACCGTAAACGTAAGAACATGCCTTCCTCTATACCTTGAGGCCTTTTCCACTGTTTTTTGCTCGCTTTTTGACTCCATCCTTCGATTATGAATGCACGTCGGAGCGCCCATATAAATGTCGATATTTTGATGAAACTGTTAGTGTTTTGCTTGTTACATTTCTGAATAAGGTATGCGCAGGAACTACGCTATATGAGAAGTAGTATTATATATGTAAAGAACTGGAAATGGCCATCCGTTGGTGATCATTTATTTGACATCATTTAGAATTTTCCAAACGGCGAAACTATTTCAGACCATTTAAACGAAGGAATCCCTATCTGCATTATTACTGCACTTTCGGGCACCAAACTGCACAGATCTTCTAATTTAACACTTAGTACTTCATAAAACATCTAGTTTTTTTAAAAATAGCTTTTGTATTAACAGGTTGACTTCCACGGTTAAAATCGGAAATAAAATATATTTTCAAGTCCGGTTAGATCTGTTTATTAGTACTCTCGCGGGCAAACTACTATCTTTTCAATGAAAAAGCCGCTTAGATGTGTAACCGGAGTCTTGGACATGTGTCAGCTTAGGACATTGAACAAATATATTCCAACGTCCATTTTCGTTCACATATATGGATATTTTACTTGATACAATTACATAAACACAATTTCTGCACAACTGGAGGACATTTCATTGAAGGATGTGAATGAGCAAACAAAATGCGCAACGTTAAAGACGTCCAGAAATTTCCCCATCAATTTCCGTTGTTGGATTTCGTGAGATAGATCACGTACTGTACTTGCACACGCATACGTTGGAAAACACGGATTTCGTTCGTGTTAACTGAAATGTGCTTGCACAAGTTAGGTAGATTTGCAATTTTGAATGTTGCTGTGTTGGTTCACGGCAGTTAACATTTATCCACCGACTGATAACTGCATAAACTGCCTTCCGAGAAAAATGATCACTTAAGTAGCGCGCATTTTTCCGCTGATTTTCAATGTCGTCATGTGTTCTGATACATGAACAGGGCAAAGGCGGCAAAACGTGCAGGATTTATTGACATGATATAGTTTCGTGGCCTATTATGTAACTGCACACGGTCATTGCATTTTTGCAAGAGTAGGTAAAATGTTCAACCAGAGATCGTCCTAGGGGCATTAGACATGATAAGTAAAAAAACACTAGCCTACTTTTATTCGTGGCATAGGAGTTGGTTCACGTCGACTACAAGGTGGTACTTTCCCCAACCCCAAGCATGGAAGTAAACAGGTTCCCTGCAAACGGATTTAAGGTGGTTGAGATTGTCAGCAGATGTTCCAAGTAGGCAATAACCACTCGCTGTCAACAATTTTGTTTCCAATAATGTGGAGTATTTTCTGCCTAGGCAGAGTTTTTGGCCATTTGGCACTTACATGCACACGCATACGTTGGCCAACAGGGATTTCGCTCGTGTTTACTGAACTGCGCTTGCAAACTTTAGATAGATTTTGCAGTAAAAAGACCATGAGGGTGAAGTCTGCAAGTGTCAGTTTCAGTCAAAGTGCACCTGCTTCAGCGGAATGGGCGCGCACCCTTCATAAACGCAAAGTTTTCGGAAAAATAATCCGCCCGTACTAAGAAATATGGACATAATGCCAAAATACATTCTAGTTCAGTTGTCTGACGCAGTACGGGACTCAGTTGTTTGCCCTTGCATTTGTTCCATGGATAATTACCGCACTCTGGCGACCGGTGGAATTATAAACTTAGTGGAAACCAGTTCTTTAACGAGACCGCATCATGGATTTCCCTGACAAGACTATGATTCGCAAATTCAAAATCCAGAACCTGCTACTGACTAGGGGTTTGAAGGTCCTGCATTCTCAAGATCACAGCTGTCACATCGCCCGTCTGGCATAATGGACGACTAAAATGATTTATCGGTTCCTATCCCACGTGACCCATTTGCCACTATAATACAAGTGAGATCCATTCAGTCCGCGCATTGTGTGCGAAAACATGGTGCGTTGGGTGGGGGGCCAAGGACGTGTGTGGCAAGCGTAGAAGTGTTGTCTTAGGTTCTGTCGACCACTACGCCCAATCTTCGCATCAGACAGGTTCTTAAAGTACTCTGATGTCTGAGGGAGAAAACTCTCAACATGACCGGACCAGATGTCGAAGTCTTTTACAGGATCGAATACCAACTTTACAATATTTGACATATCCATTTACTTTCTCGAGAATCCAAGGCTAGAATCCATGAAATTTTTTGGTCTGCTGTAGTTCACAACGTGATCGCGCGTGTTTATGAGCATGGGCAGATTTCGCAGCATTCACGACTGCCTATTCATCACGACGACCACGACGGCAACCCTCACTAACGGTGATTGCAACCCTGGTACCCTACTACGTAGGACAACGTACATGGCACGCGTAGACTGGTCGATAAGCTTTGTCGACCCCGCGTCCCTTCCCGCTCCTCGTCTTTCCAACTTCGTCGAGATCAGGAGGGCGGGGAAGGAGAGAGCGTAGTAAGTGCCGTGCAAGCCTTCCATTGCCCTAAACTAATTTGCGCGCACGTCAGCGTCCATGCGTTAAACGGGCTGTGGGACACAAAAATGAACGTCACCGTCCAGCATGACCGCAAATTCGGGATTGGAATGACTAACTAACGTAGGAGGGTTAGTCTCGGTGAATAGTTGCCGCAAACTCTGGCTGCAGTCTTTGGACTGGCCAGTAACACGAAGAAGCCATTTGCCATGCATCAAACGGCAGCAATGTCAAATAACTGTCCGCGCACACCCACTCAAGGCATGGGCCTGTTCAGTCACATACTTATTCACGACAAAGGAATTAATCACACTCTCGACCCACCAAGACCGCCTTGCACACATGACAGATCTCGCGTCTACAGCAGCGCTCACGATGTTTGAAATTCGGGGTGTAGATTGATTAGCTGAAGTACAGAGGTACGGTCTTGATGAATCCTTGTCGTGGTCCTCGGACTGACCATCAGCACGTAAGAGCGTGACTGAATATAGCATCAACCTCAACGAAAGTGACTATATAAGACTAAATAAAGTCCTGCAAATTTGAACGGCAATATCAAGGCGTATCGAGATCAACGACGAAGTTTCCTGCCAGACAAACAAAGCCGGTCAGATTTTTGGTCGCCCTCAGTCATCAGTTGGGGATCGTTGCCACCTTCCCCTACCCAAACCCCGATTCGAATCTTCATATAAATCGAATGTTCACGCTGACGAGGCCCACGCCATATCGGCGAAATAAACGTGTTATGTAGCTGATACATTCCGAGTACTTATAACAGCGACTTCCTGGGCGACCATTTTACGATGGTTTCTCTGGGTTTGCTGGCGGAAAATGAAGGCATGATCGAGACTACTGTGACATAACTATGACTTCTCTGAAGGACTTTCAAATTTTGACTTTCCAACCCAACAAATTGCTGCAAAACAACTCCCACGCGAAGCTGAAATTTCGTTTGATAACTGCGTGCTCTGTCAACTAGGCCCGTGAAGAGTAAAAATAAATAAAAAAGATAGAAAGGTGAGCTGAAAATTAATTTATTCAAAGGGGGGGACTACATGGGCGGACCTATTCCTGAGCCTGTTCAACCTCTTCTGCGGCCTGTTCAGAGGTGATGGTAGCCTTGGCAGCGACCTCGCCGGTCTCCTCGACAGCTGCGACCTGTTCCTCCTCCGTCGACGACTTCAGTTTCTGGACCTTGGGATCCACAGCGGCGTCCACCTCGGCCTGCTGGATGGGAAGTTCGTCTGGAAAAAAATATGATTGGATCACCTCTGCCTGCCTGTCACCCAATGTGAGTAGATTTGGTCAGTAGGCGTGATCGGAGTCAACTTGTGTTCACTGAAATTCGTTCAGCCCGCGTTGGCTGCATTCAGGCTAAACTGTTCTCTTAACTGAGTTGCCGAAATGCAAGGTTGCTATCAGTGTAGACTGAGACTGAATATAAAGACGTGGAACCCTTGTGGAATTATTAACTCCGACAGAAGCGTTTACGCTCTGCAGTTACAAATAATTTTGCATGATTTTAAATACTCAAATGGAACCTGACGCAGAGTCAAAACTCACCAGACATGTTGAGGATGCTTGTTACGAAGGGACCTTCTCTTCGGAGATTTATCTAATATCATTGCCTATTTATACTGGTGGCATGGCGGTTCGTTTACGTTGATCACAAGGTCGTATTCGCCCCAACTCCATGCACGGTAGTAAAAAATTTACCGATCGGAGGAGGTTAGGTGGTGGAAAGAACCGCGGAATATTTAAAGTACCACATGACCCCTTGATGTCGGGACTTTTTACAAAATGGGGAGTGGCTACCAACTTGACAGAGTTTTTTGGCATCTGACACACAGCCATGCTGGTCACGCTCAAGATTTAAGAGCTAATTAGTGCATGTCCTCTAGAGGAGATGATTTACTGTAAAGGACGAAGTGGTCGCCCAATAAGCAGTTTTTTGGCACGCATCATATATGCCGAGGTTTCACGGAGGAGAGGATCTTGACGGTGATGATTAGCTTATGTAGCTATCTAACTTGCAAGCGTTCATCATGTGATTGCTGTGTGCGGTGTCCAAAAACTATGATGTTGTAAATTGCTATCATTAAAACTACTATTAGACAAAAAGTTAACTTGGAAGTCCTGAAGGGTGAATTGTTTCTGGCTGTGTCTAATTCTGCTGAGAAATCAGGCATCGAAAATATATTTGTAGCCTCCAGAATATCTTTGCTTGCAGTACTGTGTTGGACAAACTAAGAGAAAATTGACCATCGCACGAGGTTATTCCAAGACTCCCTTCTGCGAAACTGTCTTCGCCATTTAACCTAGGATTCTAATATATGACTTTACGTGCAGGGGCCAAGGAATAGGAATCATTATTCGTTTGTGCGATATCGCATTCACTGCGTAATAGGAACTCCGCAATGAGGTTGGAAATGGCCAGTCCACTATCCCATGTTTTTGTCAGAAGAGTGTCTGAAGTACTAGCGGTAAGCACTTGTGACGCAACATCCGTGGGCTATGGGCACGTTTTATCGTAACAACAGACAAATGCATGTTCTACAGTGCGTGACCGATCTCATGAAGTGTTGGCCGAGATTCTGAAATGCGTTTTCGATTAGAAAGGATAACTTAGGTGGGGTTGTAAAATCGATTAGCATAAGGCATAATCCTATAGCATTTCGGACTCGCCAGGATGTCAGCTTTTAAATGCAGATCTTTTTGACCTCCTTCATATACCACACTTAATTAAAAATGACAACTAATATAGCATGCATTTTTCCTCTTGATTTTCGATGGTCATATAAATTCAAATATATTGTGTAGAGAACATGTACAAAACTATGCTCTCTTTTAACCCTTCGGTCGAATCTCGCATTGTCTTCATGTTTTGTGCCCAAAGAAAGTGTATATTGGGGTTTTAAAAAATTCCCTAATTGTGCGATTTTTAAGACCGTGCTATGATCATGCATACAGGACCGCACATGTCCATTTACCAATGATCCTCATGAAATGTACAACACGGTTTGAATGCATTGAGAAATTTCATGAACTCTTTATTGTATCTTCTTAAAGGCATAGAGGAATATATGATTTTCCTTGTGCTTAAAGCATGCACCTTGGAGACTGAAAACGCCAGACGCTAATGCGAATTTATAGGACTATCAAAAATTAATAGGAAACATGCATGCTACACAAGTTGTAATTGTTTACCGAATGTGGTAAATGAAGGAGGTCAAAAAGATCTGCATTTAAAAGCCGACATCCCGGCAAGTCCGAAATGCTATAGGATTATGCTGCATGCTAATCAGTATAACAACCCCACCTAAGTTATCCTTTCTAATCGAAAACGCATTTCAGTATTTCGGCCATTATTTCATGAGATCGGTCACGCACTGTACATTCCGCACTTTAATATCTCTGCATCCTACTGATAGGAGACGCTAAATTGCAGCTTTCTCGTTAAAAGTAGCAATTCGCCAATTTAGCCTCACCTTGAGTAAACCAATAATTTAACGACAAACCCCAAGGTTTCCACTATGATGACGGTTTTAGCTATCTGATTATGAAATTAAGTCTATGACCTCACGCGCATAGGCCATAAACGATGGTTTATTAGCCGGTTGTACGACAATGCATACAACAAGTTTAAATAGTCTTATTTAAGTAACCGAAATTCAGAATAAAGGTTAAAATGGTTAGTTCACTGTCCTTACGTCTTCTGTCGGAGGTGTATCTGAATTGCTGATTGGTAGTCTCTGCGAATAAAAAAATATTGGCTGCAGACGCGTAGGTTCGAGAAATAAGGAAAATACTTGTCCAGAATTCACTTCTTTTATAACTTGGCTTAATTCTGTTGTGTATGCGAGGCGGTTATGTTTATAGGTGGTTAAAGCGGCATGCAATTGACGATGATTGTAACTTATCTTCCAGTTTTGCACCGAATGATCCTTCGGTTTTGGAAATCGTGAAGGGCAGTCTGACAACTCTTCTTGCGCGCAAATATTCATTGTCACCGATGGGGTAAAGCGGGGCTGCCCACTCCCACTTCTGTCATGTTGATGACCGCCTAGCCGGAAGAAGGACCAGATGTCAGCATCTTTTGCAGGATAGAACATCAAGTTTACAATATGCGGCATATGCATTTAAATTCTCCAGGATCCAAGGTCAAAATCCACAAATCTTTTTGATCTCCTGTAGTCCACAACCTGATCGGGCAAGCAAATGAGCATGGGCAGATTCCGCATAAGTAAATCATGGAAAAAACTAAAATCTTCAGCATTCACGATATCCTGAGGTGTGGAGCTGGCCGACTCGCGTAGATGCACCATAAATGCCTCTTCAAGCGACTCTTCTTCTGTGATTTTGCTACCGGAATTCGCCAACAAGGAGTGCAATCAATGCTAAAAGAGCATCCGTTTAAAATGGTATTTAATGAGAAGTCCTCGTTCTGGAATGGCCGGTCTGAAGAAGAGCTGTGAAAACAAAAACAGCAATTTGTAAAGCCAAATTGGTCGTCTTTGCTGAAGCCACGTAGCAGTTGGAAATTCTCAACTTGTCTGATCCATAACATCCATATCGAGGCTGACAACGAAAATTTCCTGCACTGGTCGACCTCGACCGATATCCCGGGACCCAATGTAACATTAACCCAACATCTTCATCTGATGCCCCTATGAACCCCCCCCCCCCATCGCCACCTCCAGAATCAGTCAGCACGACGACAACGACGGCAACCCTCACTAACGATGATTGCAATCCTAATATCCGAATGCCGCCGCCGCCGTTCCCGAAGTCGTCGACCGCCACCGACTCCATCATATCAACCGCGAAGATTGCTCATTGATCAGTACCTGAGTTGTTAATGACAGAGGTCCATCATCTTTATTGATGATTTTGCTGACAATTACTCGGTCATTTAGATCACTGTCACCGTGACTGTTGGTCAGCCGCATCCTTCCCTCCTCTACTGCACTCCATCAGCGCAGCCACCACTACCGGCATAACCACTTCAACCACCTTATCAGCTGCCAATTCTAACACCAACTGTGCATTTCATGCATCAATCTGGTCGCTCATTTGCGATACAAACGAAACAGCGCCAGAAGCACCAACACATACCCATCGCCATTGTCTCAGATGCACAGCCATCGGTCATCCCGGTTTGCGATAGATCATCACAGATTAAATCTCATATCAATCCATCCGCCGCCACCACCTTCCACCACGCACTAACACCTCCTTCATCAGTCAGCACAGCTTCGGAAGAAGCGCGACCCATAGTTCGCTCTCCGTTTGGCCACATTGAGCGGTAGCCATTGCAGCCTGACCTTCAGTCCACCAGTCGGCCAACTACCTCCGTCCTCTCCCGCCTCCGGTCCGCTTGGCTATGTCTGGACACTGGGCCCAGGTGTGGAGGGGGAGAGAATGTGGTAGATGTTGCATGGCTCTATCTTCATCATAAATTAATTCATGCGCAGGTCACCCTGCAGTGGAGCACGCGGTGGACATAATCGGACACGACAGTCGAACTGCCTTAATGGTGTTTGAGAGGTGCTCTCGACTTGTCCTTATGACGCAATTTTGTCCATCTTGTCTGCGAATGTCCTTAGTGGCCTCTCCGTAAAACAGCCAGGTCGGTGTGCTCTCGTCAGTCATTCGTACGATACGGCTGCTCTGTCGTAGTTGGATCTGCTTCAACATCACATAGCTCACCAACATTCCAGTCAAGTCCAGCATCTAGGCATCCGATATCCGCCCCTATCACCTCCTTTTTATATTCCTCTGGAGAGAGCCTAAATGGGGGTGGTTGACTCCGGTGATAATGCAGGAAGGAATACCGGACAAGGGACCGCCATCTCTGGCTTGTTAGTTGTCGTCAGCCAGCCATGCCTGGCGTTCATTGGCTAGACAGGTCGGGTTCAAAACCTAAATGATTCAAACGCAGATTGAGTGTGGCTGACTGACGATGACTGGTAAGACGGAAATCGTCGGCGTTGAAACGCTACCTGTACAGAGTAGTTGGTCATGCGGAGAGGGTGCGATGAACACCGATTTCAGCAGCGATATAAACGGACCAAGTTGTAGAGTTATTACTACGCCACATCGTGAGCAGCTGAAATGCCACATTATCCGCCATTCACGGCCTTGGGACGTTCTCATAAAGTTCTCTGTATCTTATTCTCTCTCGGCCCCATTTAAACTTCAAGGTGAATTATTGTGCATCCGCGGAAATAATCGGCATCCATAGCGCATCTTTAATGGCTTGCGCGAAAGACGAAAAGTCGAAACAAGCGCTTGGCCGAAATCTGTCACGTGACAAGGCGCGCCGACATGCATGCGTGTGACGTTGCCTTCATTACCAAAATTATGCACCAAAAGTAACGAAAAGAAACAATGCGTAGACGCGTGCGTGCAGTCTACCCGGGTGAGTCTCAATGAGAACTTAATTGCTCTGTGTAAACTTCCAGGCAGTAGGCCCCAACGTGCATTCGTTCCGATAACGACTCTCCACATCTCTGGCCGAGCTATCTAATGAGTTATTATGCATTTGCATGCATAACTAAGCCCGTGCCAAAGACCACCTCCTGCAGAATTGAGCGGCAAACGACAAACTGCCGGTCTTTCTGAGGCCACGGCGTTCAGAATACCCGTACTGCTCAAGCCAACTACATGACCGAAGGTTGTTATGTCCTTTCGGCCGAGAGAGGACAAAGAGACACCAAAAATCCTTTTATGAATACGATTAATCGACGTAAGACATGACATGATTTAGATACTTTGGCAGGAAAATATTTTCGATAATTTGAGAAGCCTCCGTAGTCATCAAAAGAGACACCCTTTCGAACCCTATTGATCACAAAATCTAGGCTGCATATTCAGCGTATTTGAAGACACGAGTAGTACTATAACTTTCAGCCTAGTAGTGGGGCACATAAAGAAAGCATGAGGGTGCTTCACCCTTAGTCGAGACAGGGCTCTGGAATAAACTTCCTCTTGGGCCTGTGTAACATATAGTTGTAAAGTTATTCATGTTGCATAAAGGCATCGAGCCCAGGAAAACGCTTTTTCAAAGATATAATTGATAAAAGAAGGGGAGACGTAAATAAACCGCCTTGGCTTATTCGTCAGTCTCCTGAATTTCCATCAAAAATGCATTCCAAAACCTGACTACTCGTTGACTTTTGACCTTCTGCGAGGAAAAAATGCAGATAAAAAGATTAAGTTTTCATGCCACAACGAGTGGCCAAAAAGCGTCTTGTTGGGTTTTCAGTACATACATCATTTCAAAGGCATCTGATCCTTGCAGTCCGTCCACTGTGTGCGAAAACATGGCGTGGTAAGGAAGGCAGTGTTGTGTTCGGCACTCGCAGACGGGCTGTTTATGGCTCTTTCGGCCAGTACGCTGAATTCCGTCTTCAGACAACCCACCGACAATGAGGGTGGAAGAGGAATTGAGGCAAACTCCCAGCGCGAATCGCCTGCCATAAACAATCTGATGTGTTTAACTCTATCACGGCGCAATATAAGCCTCCGCTTGGGAGACCGTCAACTCACAGGCTAACTTGGTCCTCCTCTCAAGAAGAACAGTCAAGCTGCAGCTGTCTCCTTCTACATAAGATACCTATGACACTCCTATTCACCTAGTATCCGTGCAGGATGAGATCCCAACCATTGATGCGCCGTCCAGTCAAGCTTGGCTTCCGTACAGGGACTGGAAAGAGTGAGGTCGAATTTGGAGGCCGATCCTCGCGTCAGACAATATAGTTTCCCTGCTGTAAACGGTCAAACGTGTTTGAAGTCCGAGTAGAATTACCGACAAACGCAAGGGAGACTGCATTGACCACGTCTGGCGTATCAGCCGTCGTCAGTCAGTCATACCCAATCCCGAAGTGTGCAACATCTGGAGCTCGTTTCCACAACCTGTTAGTTAAAAGTTCACTGCCTCTAACTACTGAGACACATGATCAGTTTCCTCTGCCATTGTGAATTCCCGATCGTAATCAACAGGACAACTGGCCCGTGGCTCAGTGGTTAGAGGCGTTGGACTTCTAACTAGCAGTTTGCCAAGGTTGATTCAGCCTAACCGTCATTGGGGCAGTTCGCGACTCGCCGTTGAATAATAAATCCCGTAAGACACAACGGGAAGAGTGACTTCCGTAGAAACGGTCGGTGAGCGCCCCTCTACTATTGTACATTCCCGATCGCAATCAAAAAGACAACGGGCTCGTGGCCCAGTGGTTGAGGCGTGGACTTCTAACAAACAGGTCGTGAGTTCGAGCCTCGGGTGTTCCACACTTCGCGGTTGGTTATGACTGGCTGACAACGGCTAATGGCCATTCCAGTCTCCCTTGTCTTTGTCGTGGATTACATTCTGCCTATGTCATGTGCCGCTGTGCGGCTGCTGGTTGAGCTCGAGAGAGGGAACGCGCAAGGCACAACGGAACGAGTGAGTTCCGTAAAAACAATCGGTGGGCGCCCCTTTGCAGCATTTGAATTCAGCACGATGTTTTAGAAGCTGTGGTTTTGAAGGCCGCAAATTGACTTAGTAACTTGTTCCTTCTCTTCATGTGGCCCCTGAGACACTCCCACCAGGCGTCTTAAATGTGTCTTGACGCCGGACTTACTGTGCTGATTAAGATGGGAGTGCGGTGCGTGCAGCCAAAATCCACAATCATTATAAACTAACTCACGCATAGGTCGGCATCCTGCCTCTATCCCGCTGTGCCGCAAACGACGGACATCGTCAGCAACGACGGTCGAACTTTTGGAGCGTCAAACTGCCGTCTGTTTTGGCCCCCACAATAGCACGCGGCTAAATAACTGTACGAAACTCGCTTGGTGTGTTGCGCAGAAGGGATGTGGAACTTGACCTCGTCCTGTCAGACATCTGCGGCAATCCCCGCCTCCGGTGCTGATTGGTTCGGAACGTGTACAGGCACCTATTGACGAACGACGTAGTGAAACCATTTTTGGAAATCCCGTCCCCGCCCACGCAGCACATTATTTACTTTAAACTATCTGACCTATTTTAATTTCCAAATTAATTTGTAAATTATAAATTAATTATTAATTAATGGGTAATAATAATAAATTTATCGATAATTTAATAATTTTTCTACCCTAGAGTTCAAATCTTCCGTCCTCACATGCGGTAAGCTTACGAATGAGACGGTAAGACGACATTTTAATGTCAAGTCTTCCCACAGCTTTTGGGAGTGCCTTCACACCATAATACAAGAGCCAGCCAATCAATGGATACCACGTGAGTTTCCTCTACCGCACTGTCAACATAATCGTGGCGACTCGCCATTGGCTGATCCCCTCGAGCTTGGTCGATCCGTGACTGCGAGTGACCAATCAACTCGTCTAGGATTTTTCTCTCGAAGTGAATTTGGCCGAATGCAGGCAAATCCCATTAGGGTTTTATAAATACGCGTTACCTTCCCTTTAGACTTGACTTGCAGTTTCCTAATACACTTTTCGTGGCCACTCGCGTTCTCCTTCTCTGCCGCGTTGGTATTGGGGACAAGAATCGTGTGCGCATACGCTCCATGTGACTTCTAAGTACCAGGCTGGGTCACAACACCAGTCATATATCCTCTCGTTTGAAGAGAGATCTGAGGGTGGAGAAGAACACATCTATTGAGTCTGCATTTCGAGTTGAAATCATCGGCCTATGCAATGATTTTATTGCGATTTCCAGACAGTTTAGTCCACTTATTCGTATGGGTGTTTTCTTTATTAATTCGGCTTTTTCACAATAAAATACAATTTCGTAAATTAATTTTAAAAAATGAAGTTCTATTACATAGGTATGTGGCAGATATTGAAGCATCTATACAAAACCACATAGAAATTGGCGGAGAAGTCCGAATCCCACGTCCATGCGGACTACGTCCAAAATGTATGCTGTCCAGTTTGTCTGTTGATACAAGTTGCCGCCGTAGCTAGATCCATTTGTTGTCTGTGATGCCTAAAACTCTTTTGAGACAGAGAAGAAGCGATCTTCGGAATTTAAGTGTTGTGCGTAACGTAGAATGAAATGCCGGTTAATTTCTGCGTCTCACACCTTAAAGGCTGTGTCGCTGTTATGTCTAACACTCATCTATGATGTGTATGAAGCGACAGTGGATCGAATTCCGAGTAGGCTGATGGTTGTTTTTACGCTGGCGTAATGGTTAGATGATTCCAGGACAAGCATCGTCCGAAAAGGTATTAGCGCACTGCATTTTGCCATGCTTCTGACACAGAGTTCTGATGACTGTCTTCGCTGTCAGCCCGCTATTTTCGAAAAAGTTTCCCAAACTAGCATTCCAACTGGCCCCCTGGGATCTGGTGTCAGTTGTCTGCCTGTGCTGATTCAATATTTCTACATTATATTTCTATAAATACTTGCTACTTAATACAATGAGGTAACATGATACGTCTGTGCCAAATGCCGATTAGCCATTATTCGTCGCATTAAGCAAGTCTCGATCCAAATTTTCACCGTCAAAACTTTGACTTCGTGTGAATTTGCCTTTAATTTCCGGGAGGCAAACCCCCTATCTTTCGGCCTCGAAGTTTGAATAACTCTCCCGATCACAATGTATCAGTTTCAATAGAGTAACCGCATAACTTTCATAATTGTAAAGTCAAAACTAGCATTGTTCGACTGTAAGGTCAGTGTACGTTCTGGACCAGACGACGGGCACATTACTATTCTCAGTTTTTCGCTTCGTTGTTTCTCCAACGTGATTGGTAGCATTTTCTTCAGTTTGAATGATGCCGGATAGAGCGTCGCATCCGACGGTTTCTACCGTGTGCTCCACAGAAAGTTGAAAGCAGGCACCGTGGCATACGCGTGAATTAATCTACAATGAGCGTAGACTTGCGCAGCATTTACCACACTCTTTCCTCTTCACCCACCTTAACCCGATGTCGAGACAGAGTCGAGAAGATCGGAGGCAAGGAGGGCGTAGAACGATGGCGCGGCCGAGCCTGAACCTTGGCGCTTCATTCCACACCCACCCCCCGGGTCCACAAAAAAAACTTGACTAGGATTTCGACCAACAGCAGAACCACAACAGGTCAGAAAGGTGACTACTATGCGCACGACCTGTATACCCAGCGAGAGCGCAAGCGCCTCTACCGGCAGGGAAGCAGGTGTCGGAGAACTGTCAGCGCACACCAGGCTGCGAGTGCCATGGTTTGCTGATTCTGGCAAAGCAGAGGCCTACAGATCCTTAGGCCCAGAAGGGTGTCAGGTGCCCCTGCATTTAGCGTGAGCAACATCAGCAAGTAAGACATTCGCCGCAAGACTCGGCTCATCAGCCCGTCCCTCAGTCTGCCTAGCTACTGGTGAAACAGCAAACTGGACATTAAACACTGGAGGGGCTATTAGCCCCATTGACCTAGCTGATCGTTCGTGTTTACGTCAAATAGACTTCAAAAGTCGGCGAAACGCGTACTCTGAATACGGCCAATGTATTTACTACCAATGTGCCCGATTTTACATAGATATCCAGACCACGTATTACTTGCCATATCGCTTTGCGTGCTCTAGAAAGAAGTCGCAACAGCCAAAAATTTTAAATTGTATCGGACTATTCTGCCAGGCTTGGAAGTATTACTTATAATGGTACCGATATCTGACTACACGAATGGCCGTACCAGTGTCCCAAGGTGTCTCATAAGCAACGTAACTACGTCTTGTTTCTCTTTTCTCTGGTTTTTTTGCATATCAAGTCAATGATAACTTCTCATTGGAGTGCATGTTACCTGTCTGATCATCCTCACGACTGACGACTCATCATCATCAACTCACGAAATATTGGCGTTTATATTCAGCATTGATAACGGACAAAGTATATCCATTTAGCATTTTATGGAACAGACAACCCTTGTCGAGTTGCTTCTACCAGAGACTGGAAGTGCTTTAGCTAACTGCGCACGTACCGAATATTCCTGCGAAGAGTATTTTTTAGAAGAAGGACGGAAGGATGAGCTAAGAGGCAATTTATTCAAAGGGGGGACTACATGGGTTGGCCTATTCCTGCGCCTGTTCGACATCCTCTGTGGCCTGTTCAGAGGTGATGGTCGCCTTGGCAGCGACCTCGGTGGTCTCCTCTGCAGCCGCGACCTGTTCCTCCGTCGGCGACGACTTCGGTTTCTGGACCTTGGGATCCACAGCGGCGTCCACCTCGGCCTGCTGGATGGGAAGTTCGTCTGAAGAAAATATGATTGGCTGAATAGAAAACTTGGAGCAATATCGATTCACAGACAATATAAACCCTCGATATTTCCTAAACGGAGGAGAGTTTATCCTGTGCATCTGAAGACGTGTCATTCGCGCAAATGCGTACGAACAGGCTTCTCAAAAGGCCGGTGGACGATTTTTTGTCCAGAATGTTTTCATCACACTGACGCTCATCGTGAAATGCATCAATTCCTAAGCGTGGTCAGGGTCAATATCTTTCCATTGAAATTTCGTCGACTTGGGCTACTCTGAAAGTTCTCTCCCCTTTGAATATAAGTTGCGTATTTGTAAGTTTGAGGGTGAGGTCATGACTTCTTAGAACAATGTCAGAAAGGAACGTTGTGAATAATTTTGGACGCTTGGTCCCCGTGATCACAAAACCACTGAAAATCTGTAACTCCGAAAGTTGCATGAACATTATTCATTATCAATTAATTCCAGACCAATATAGGGAATTGAAGTCATCAATATATATATACAGCGGAACCGGGTTAAATGAATTCCTGTTTTTAGAGGGTGAATGTATAGCGGAAACTCACCGGACATATTGAGGATTCTGGTTGGGAAGTAACCTTACTTTCAGAGCTCTATCCGTTAAAATGGCTTATATATATATTGGTGGATTACCAGTCAGTTTACGTCGCCTGCAGGGTCATGTTCGTTCCGGCTTTATGCATGATAGTAAACAAGTCTCCTACGAGAGATTTTGGGTGGTCGTGTGATCAACATATTTTTCTACAACAGTGATACTCCACGAAGTTTATATTTTTTTGAAAGTAGGGTGTGACTTCAAAACAAACGGGGATTTTTGTCATTTGGCACACATGCGCTGGTTGACACGACTATAGCTCGTGTTAATTGAAGTAAGCTTGCCACGATCAGCAAACCACGACCCTCGAAGCCCGGTGTGCGTTGGCACTTCGCTGGCACCTGGGTTTTTGTCGGTAAATGCGTTTGCGTTCCCGCTGGGTATACAGGTTGTGTGAATGATTGTAAAGTCATCCACGTCGTCTGGCTAAACCGTTGTGGTGCTGTTTTTGGTTTACATCCTGGTCACGTATTTGTTATGCAACAGGCGGTGGGTGGCACGTCTAGGTGCGGGTTCGACCGTGTCAACCGTCGCGTTCTCTCCCGCTTCCGGTCTTTTTGACTATGTCTTAACACCGGACCAAGCTGGGGGAGGAGGAGGAGTTGAGAGTGGGGTAGATGCCTGACAAGTCCTTTTCTCCCTATAAACCATTTTAAGCGCAAGTTACCGTGCCTGCTTCAGATTGTTCTGGGGCGCACGGCGGTCGAACTACCAAGCCAGAAAAGAGCGATGAGACTTCGTGTTGGGCATGATCATGATGGGGAAGTTTTCCAGCGTTTCTTCGCAGTGGCTCCTATTTTGCCCTTCAGATGTCCCTTTGACTGCGATATTCCGGATTTGGCAAACGCAATAATCTTATTTCGACACGACTGCGTAAAACCCGGCGATATCGGTGGCATTCGAACCACCGTCAGCAAGGGAAAAGTTTAAGGGCAATCAGCGCACTAACCCCCTGAGCTACGAGGCCCCAACGTGAGCCTTGAGGCTTATTTCATTTGGGTCAAGTAACCCCACCAGCCTACTATGACATATGGAACGCCCCACATTTGATGTGATAGGCTGACTGCCCAATCGAAATTTCATAATTTGTTGAAACTCATGTAACTACTAAGTGATTTGGCAAACTTTGGCAAGGTCAAACGCCAAAACTGGTGAGAATGATGAACGCTTTCCTGCTCGTGCGCCGTTAAAATCTTTGTGACCTCCAACACACCTTGTAGGCTGAGATACTGTTGAGCTAACCTCAGAGAAAACAATTCTTTCTTTACTGAGGCGTTCTTAGCCGTTCGATCTTAGGTCCCAGTAGAGCTTCTTAGTACTTTGAGCGGTAACGCACTCACTAGCATTAAATGATCCGGATTGAAACAATCGAAATATAGTACCAAACTCAGAAAGTACCATTCTATTGCCACGTTTCTGTCAGGTGACTCAAGTGGGACACATTTGGCTCTCGTAATCTCCCCTGACCTTCCTTTAGGTTACAATAACGCGTTGCTTATTGCCATTCACTGTGTCATCACATTCGTTGATTGCGGACCCATAACTCCGAGAGACGTTTTAAATAACCATCCTGAACATCGCACTTGCGGAATTTTTCATTCTTTAGATCTCAGTCATCAAAGTTCAAAACAAATATGATGGTTGACCAGAACGCTGTAATATTTAAGCAAGCTGTTAAATCCTCTGCCTGAAATTTGCCCTCAGTTATATACATTCCTACCCGCCTATTGCACATAATTTGAACTTTTGTCAGTCCTTCATTCTCCCATTCTCTGAGACCCGGAATTTATAGTTTGACTGCAATGATTTAGAGGCTTTACGGCATGTATGATAAAATGCCTTATATTTATTACTATAGGATCCAACGCGTTGTTCGGGTATCATGAGGTGTCACTACTCGTTGTTCGACGAAAGTTCCCTGTCCAACTTTTACTGTTGAAGTTTTGATTCTGTAATACCGCTATCCGTATCAAACTACAGGTAAGAAGCCTTGATTGTAACCGGAAAGCCGTCAAGGCAGAAAGGGGATATTGTTCCGTACTGACCGAAAAAAACTCCACTCTACTTTTCGAGGATGGATTTGTGGCTCATTCACCCGCCGTCGCAGTAAACTCTGTTAAAGTGAAAGCGACTACAACTTTGGCTGAGCAATGGGAAAAAAAGTGCAGGTTATTGTTTCAACGACAAGGAGGAAACTAGACCCGCTCACACCACAGAGGCTGGCCAGAGCAAATTACTGCCCTGAGGACCCACATTGGAAGCGTGGTTTTCAAATACCAGTTGTTCATACTGACCCAACTGCGAAAAACTCGGCGCCTCAGTGGGATTCGAATCCGCGCAGTAAGGGGAAAGGCTTATTACGGCCAACGCTCTAACCACCTGATCTACGAGGCCCCGCCGGACGACGCGAGTTTTATCACACTCGGGTCAAAATATCAATGAAATACCAGTTGGACTGATCGGCGCGCCGTATTCGACGCGACGTACGGGGTTCTGCGTTACCAATTCCGCTGAAGTAAAGATACCTTGACAGCTGTGAGCCTTTTGGGGAAAGGACAAGGGCTGCCTTGCGCATCTACCGGCAAGGAACCAGGTGCCAAAGAGCTGTCAGAGCAAGCTAGTCTGTGAGAGTCATGGTTTGGTTTATCATGAAATACCAGACGCACACAGTCCGTAAGGTCCCGCCAGTACTATAACGACGAAGATGTCGATAGACTAGGCGCAGGGCCAGCGACTGGAAAGTGCACTTTTTGATGCTGAGGCGGACACTTGTAGCATCAGTCGCGCTTCCTCTCTCTCTTCAGATGACAAATGAATATCAAGGGTGCCAAAGATGGACTCGGGTGTGCAGGCCCAAAGGAACCATTGAGCCGGACTCTCACCGCTAGAGTCGCTTAGTCTACATTCACACATTACTGACTACGAGAGCAGAGTTATCCAGCCAGTTGGCAAGGCTTCAAGCCACATCTATAAGCTCGTCATGATATATTCCATTGCACCAGATTTATAACAATGAGGGATGCAATGGCTTTCTGCGGGAGTTGATTTCTTACTGTGTATACTAGGGCTGTTCGAGACGCACTTTACGCACCAGGCCACACCAAAATCATGCTTCCCATTAAAGTAGTGTGTAAACCTTCTTACCTCGACGTTTCACGTGCATACCGTCCGG